CCGGTGTAATGGTTTCAAAAACCGAACTCATTCCAAGCTTACGGCTAAAGTGTATAGGTCGGTGTCTGTGACTGAAGGTAAATAAATAAAGTAGGAAGAATATTATGTACCATTGCCAGATATTCACACATAAATGTGCAGCGAAAAGGAATATACGGGAGTTGAGTGGAAAACTTCTCTATTCGGGCTATGGAATGCTGCAGGCGACTTGGAGCTGCCACGAACATACATAACATAGCAAGGCAAGAAATTCCTTAAGGCGTCCTAGAAGCGCAATTTTCAACATTAACGGAACAATGAAGGAGTGAAGAAGTTTGGATGTAGCTGGAGCTACAAACGTCGAAAATTTATTACCGAAAAAAGGAAAAATAGAGAATATTTCTAGACTGCACGGTTTGCACTCGCTAATACAAAACTAAAAACCGTAAAATATAGAGCAGGCAGGCAGGTAGGTTAGGGTAGCACTAGTGGCGATATAGCAGACATAAGAATTTGTTGCAGTCCGTCAGTCAGCCAGTTGGCATCTTACGGCCAAGCTCACTCAGCCATTCACTTTTATGATAGAGATTGCAAGAAATCGTCTGTAAATGAGAAATTGAAAAATGGCGAAATTACATTAGCGGCATACATTATTTACGAATGTTTATGGTGGAGATAAAAGAAAAGCTAATAACAATAACAATTTAATGAAAAACGCATGTTATGATTAGTTTGTACCATAAAAAAGGTTAAGACGTAGATAAATATGCAGTTCAAAGTACTGTGGAAGATGAAGCGGAAGTAGTGACAGCAGATTACTACAAAAGTGAAAGCACTTAAAATGCACGAAAACTTTAAAAACGTAGGCAAAGCTTTTTAACAAAGTTTAAATGTCCGAACTTTTAAGAGACCGTTGCTTTGACGAAACTGATAGGCAAGGAAAGAAAGAATGTATTTAGAACAGTGGTTCGCTCAGACGAAGTCCAATCTAGCTTTGGAATTTTGAAAGACAAGTGAGGTTAGGTTGATTGCGAACTTAAAACTAGTTGGATTTCATGACAAGCCAACTTGACTCCATTACAAATGTACAAAATAACACCCTCGGAGGATTGTAATTGATTGTCGAAGAGACAGAAACTTTGAGTTTTTGAAACTCGTTGGTAACCTACATAGATCGAACTTATGCGAACCTTTGCCCACTAGGTCACAGTGGGCGCAATAAGAAAACATTTTTCATTCAAGAAAGTAATATTCAAATTAGCTTGAAGAAAAGGAATGCTAATAATCATCTTAAAGAGAGAGTATTTTTTGGTACAATAACAATAGTAACGGCAAAAACATGTGAGATCATCGTTTTAAAATAGATAAACAGTATTTGAACGCGTTCCGTTAATATATAACGGTAATTTCAGAAATCTACATACTACGGAAAATTGGTCGCTGTAACGACGATATCGCATAATGTACTCTTTCTTTCCTGCTATTACCATTACCGCTGATAGTGAGATTTGCAGAGAAAACGATTAATGACAACAAAAGCTGTCGCAAAGCAACTGCTCACGCCGCGCACATATGGCTAATGAGGTTTTAAGATGCGGAACAGTTAAAATTATTTAAAAAAAAAAAAAAAAAGAACTCCAAAAAAAGGAAGTTAGTGTTTGAAATTCGAAACAAGGGTGCTTAGCGGCATCCAGCAAAGCAAGAAACGCGTGTTGGAAACGTGCCATTACCCGATTGAGTGGACCTTAACAGGGTTTCAAAAGTAGCAAACGCAAGCGAACACCCAAAGCATTGTTCTATCTTAAATTATATTCACTTGTGTAATGTAATGAACTTGGGGTCCAAGCCAAAAAACGCACTGGCAAAATACACAAGGACATTCAGGATTTCTCTATGTGACATACATACACACATATTATATGTATATGTGTGTTTGTATGCAAGATATGAAGTGATGGCTGCTGAAGGGGCTGGCACTGCTGTATGGCATTTATTGATTTATCCTTTGTGGTGCACGTGTATTTTTTTGTCGTTGTTGTTGTTATGTGCTCTTCATATACGTACTTATAACCAAACAAATATATGGGCTTCCTCTTCATTTTTCTTTTATTCCATTTCATTGTGAGCGCCTGGCGATAACGCCCTTCATTACAGCGAGTTGCTGCATTGTTAAAGGATTATGGTGCGGACACACACACACGCAGACACTCATACATATGTCATAGAATGGTATCCTTTTTTGCATGTACCATAGCGTTATTCAATAAAGCGAAAAACAACCCTCACACCATTGCACACTTTTTTCCATACGATTAATCCACATCCTTTTTATGGACACCAACAACAACAACACTAACACAACTCGTAGTATTTATTGTTGTTTATTGTCCTTGTTTGATTGGCATCCCAACGGGTCGCATGGTTATTCAATTGAGGGTTAGGGTTAAGGTTTCAATGGCGTAGCAGCAGGTTGTTGGGTTGCTTGCACCATTGCACGTTTCCCGAGCAAACAGAACGTGAAACCAAAAAACAAATATATTACAGAAAAAAAACAATAAATTAAAGAATTATAAAAATATTGAGAATAAAGCAGAAATGTGTTGCGCAAGTCGCTTCATTTGAAATAAAAGGACTCGCTTAAGGCATTGTGTCAAGCATGGCGATAATGAAGAGTTTGCTTACAAATTTAAGAGTGCAAATTGTTAAATTTAATAAACGCTGATTCTAGAGATTAGTACAAGTGTGGGTTTAGTAGAGCGTTTAGAAGAAATTTTTTTCATTAACCATATGATTCGCGAGCTTGCGAGAAATCTATAGTACGTGATATTTGTGTGTATCATTAAAAAAAATACACGGAGTTTATTATATAAGTTCGCCTAGAACATCATTTTGTTTTAATACTGTAGAATATGTAATCCTATTTTGCAAAAAAAATCTATAAGCTTGACTAAAAAATTGAGTTCAAAACTAGAGTTCATTAGTCATAATAGTGTTTAGCATTAAAAACTCCTCAACACGTTGTTTAGTATAGCCCTTAGCCATCTTTAAACACCACTTTGTTTGCGTGTTAATGGGCCTATTTTACAACAATACTGTCGTAGGTTTAAAAAAAAAACAAAAAAGCCACATACATATATAGTGCTTTACCTTAATCACTGGTCACTAAAATTATTTATTATATAAAAATTCTTCCTTAACTCACTTTCAATCTAATTTTGGTATGTTTAATAATGGATATGTAGATGGGGAAAATATGGCCTAAATTTTGACCATTTGACAATACACATTCACCGTTTTGTATATGCAATGGAAGTGACAGTTTCTTAAACACACAAAACAATTTCTCATATATTTTGATATAGAGTTACAAGAACAGAATATAGCAAATCATCTTTTTTATTTCAAGGTTATGGGAGCTCTTTATTTATATATATATATATATTAAGTGTGTTACCAACCCTTTTCTACAAAAGGTAATTTAATCTAAAATAATTACTAATAAGAACTTCAACACATGTGAGGTTCTGCCATTAAGCATATTTGGCTTTTCAAAAGTTATTTTTCAGAGCATGCCTAATGATAGATTAGAAGCTAAGGGGGAGTAGGATTGATTCGTGTAAAAACCGGCATGTTTTAGTCAAGATTTAGCGACGACACAGTTAACATCTTTTTATTGAAACCAATGGTACATAAAGTATGACATTTGAAATTACGAAGAAATATTAAGAAATACGGCAATTGCAGCAATTATTTGAATGTCACTCGGAAAAACTAAATGTTGGGCTGCCATTCATAACTTCGTGCTGGATCATATGAAATCGAAAATTCAAGGTTCATTAAAGGAAAAACACCGGTTTTTTTTTTAAAAAAGTCGGCTAATGTTTTCCTTGAACCATTTAAACGTTTTAAAATCAAGACAAATTAACACCTTATTTTTCAACAAGAAAATGATTTTTATTTAAAATAAATTTCTCAAAATCGGATGCTAATAAGAGTCCAATAGTTACAGCTTAAAACTACACTATGTTACTATTATAATATTATAACCTCAAAAGAAAAACAAAACGTTTTGACTTCAATAGATATTTATTATTATTACTAAAGATGTACAACTTTTGACTTGTTATTGCACAGAAAATGCTAAAAAATATTTTTTATAAATAATTTAAGTTATTAATAGAGGGAAATATGCCCCAATTGTTTAATAATTATTGTTGTTTGGAGTTTTTCGACTTCTTTAACTCAAAAATGACTTTCGTAATTTAAAAAACCAATTAGTGTAATTAAAATTTACAAATAAAATTGCATTTTCTATGCAGCTGAATGACCAAAATCAAAATAAATTAAATTGTGCGAGGTAACTAACCGGAGACACCATGTTTGTTAAATTGGTTAGAGAGTGAGAGCGGCACAAAATAAAACAAGCAGGGGCATAACAAAATTTACAACAAAAAAATTTGCGTGTAAAAAAGCGCAACAAATTAACATTAAAGGTCAGTGAACACCACCGCACAGACAACCAGTTTCTGGCAGGCATATAAACATACATACACATTTACATATGTATGTGCCGACACACGAGCATCATCATCATCATAAAAAACTCAGTCAACATACACACGTGTAAATTGAAGAGAAACAAACCAAAAAAAAATAATCAAGATAAAAATAATATTAAAGCTCACAAGCTCTGAACGAGTTTTATTTAAGGCATTAATAAAAAAATTATATATATTTGTATGGATATGTATGTACACATATGTATGCATATACATAAGTACATATGTACATATTGAGCTTATGTGATGCTGATACACACGCTTTAAAGAGCGTCTACAAATCTGACTGTAGAGAAGAAACGAAGGAATGTATGAGGAAAACAAAACAAAAAGCAGAATTAAAAAGAAAAAATCAAATTGTATCTAGATAAAGAAAAACCGAAAAATTCACGCTGGTTTTATAGACAATTATAAATTGTTATTGTATAAGCACATTCAGTATGTTGTGCATGTGGTACATACCTAAAAATACATTTGAAAACTGCAGCATGATCAATTAAGCGTATTTTCGCAAGCGAGTAAATCGCAACGGTACAACATGACGAATAGTGAAAGACGCGAGCAGGACAGACGACTAACGCACGAGAGACAAACAATACACGAAACACCTGAAAAGAGAGAGCGGAAAAATTAGATTTGTAGTCATATTATTCATATCTTTAATTATGTTTGTTAATTTGTGAATAACAATATTTTCAAGTATTTTAAATGTTAATAAATGCTGTGATTGTTTTAAAAAAAAATGTGCAATATAATATATTGATCAATATTTTTAGATTACACAATAGCAACACATACTATTCTAATTGGTAAGATTAGGTTTTAAGCCAAATTTCCTTTAAATTCGTACGTTAACCGGACTTTTTCAACAATTATAGACAAATTTGTCATTAAATCTACTCAGTCTGTAGTGAGCGTTGTCACATATTTCTGAATAAAAACTTCTTCTCAGATCCTATCATTTACTAAAATACCATTGTTGGGTTGATAAGCTATAATTGACTCCTGATAATACAAAATTGCTGTTATATGAGAGTGTGACGTGAATATTATCCTATCAGTTGTCGGAACAAATGACGCTTTTACGTCAGTTAGCAAATAATAATTTGTATTTAGAAGGAATACCAGTATTATAAACTAGATTTAGGCTTAATCGGTTTGGTATAAATGTAATAACCAAGCTGGCGAAAACAAATTGAATGTAGAACCTCTATAACACTCAGAATTCGAAGCATCTAAAACAACTTTGCCTTTCAAGCCGAAATTTAAGGATTAACACTTAGAGGGTGCCAAGTGGTCTTCCAGTAGATATATTAACCGCGATCAGCGGTCCGTTGCGTCAAAACAAATTCTCATTGCGTACGATTATGTAACGAGGCAATCAGTAAGGTTTTAGTCGGAAACCTTGGATAATTTGGATATAGAAGGAAACGAAAATGCGGTGGAATTGATAATGTCAGGAACACAATCCCCATAAACTACCCAATACCGCCCTCTTCTGCGGCGGCTCGAAGCAATAGATGAGGAACAACGAAGTTTTCGAACATCACCAATACAGGCCGTAACACACTGTGGGATAGTATTTCTACTGTTAAAAAAAGATTTTCTATAAATTCGAAATATACTCTGGAACTCGATCTTTCTCGGCGAAAATCTTTAAACAGTTTAGTGGCTAAAATACCCTTGACAAATAAAATAGTTTTCCATACGAGAACTTGATTTAGAGCTTGTATGAAGCTATATGATATAGTATTCGATCTGAACAATTTGTACAGAGTTTATGGTGTTCTTCGAAAATATTCGGTGCCAAATTTTATGAAGCTATCATGTCTAATAAAAAAATTCTTCATACAAGGAGTTAACTTGGTTCTGTCAGTTAGTATGTCAGCTATATGTCATAGCAGTCTGATATAGGCGGTTGCGACAAATGAGCATATATATTTTATAGGGTCTCCGATATATCTTCCTGGGTGTCACAAACTTCGTGGCAAACTGATTAGGGTATAATTACAATGGTAAATGAATCACCAAGATCACTGAAACATTCATAAATTTCTGAGGATATTTTCAATAGCAAGTAGAAATGGCTTCAATAAACGTCTCTAACTGTATTTTTGGCCGAAAAAGTGAACATTCACTACTGTTATTCACCTTGCGATTTGAAGCAAAAATAAACTGCACTAAAATTCCTTTGCATGGCAAGTGGTGGATAGGACGAACAGAGACCTGTCATAAACACAAATACATCTATATGTATAACGACACACAACAGCAATAGAAACTATGCAAAACGAAGTTCATAATGGTCCACAGTGGTGGTCAAACATGCTAAACTGCCTTTGGTAGAATACAAGACACAAAAATGCTAAAGAGAGAATTAGAAAAAAAATATGCTGACGAAAAATAAAAACTTGTTTCTACGAATTTTTCAACACAAATCAAAAACAAGTGTGCAATTTCAGAGAGTAGCAAGCGGCTAAATTGACTAAGCAACGTTGTGACAAACGAGTCCAAGCGGCTTTTGAGAAGAAGCTTAGGAGCAAAACAAAATAAAAAATCACGAAATAATGCATACAATCAATGTGTGCAACGATGAAAATTTTATAACTGGAAGTTGGATATTTTATGCTGCAACATAGTCGACAAAGTCTAAGCAAGCCACCGCCAGCAGCTAAAGATGCGCGTACAATATTGTTGCTTGAGAAACCTGTTTGCTGTCGTCTCTGTTGTAGCGCAGCCATGCGAATCGTAGACAACCGAATCATAGGACAATGTAAAGTCACAGTAAACGCCATTAGATGCTGTAAGTAACGCATAAGCCAACTGTGGATATATTTTGTGAGCAGACTTTTAGTTCAGGTTTTAAGAACCGCGAAAAAAAATATAAAAGTAAGGAAGGGTGTAACCGAACATTTTATACTCTTGCAACTTGCAATGAGCAAAGCAAGGGAAATACCTTCAGGTGTTGGCAAAACTCCATATTAAAAAATATTGCCAAAGAATTCAACATTCATTATTCTATCAAATCGTGAATAAATTAAGATCATAGACTCAATTAGTTTTAAAATTAGATTTTACTTCCCTTTAGCCAAATTATAATACGTTCACTCAATTAAATTAAGATACTTTTATATTGGCCGATATATGGGGTATAAAGTCTGCCGGAAGTTCGAAAATTTTTCTATTAGGTATATGGGGACCAAGGAAATTATTGATCAAATTTGATACACAGGCATACTGTTAAAAGAAAAGAAGTGTCTTCGAATTTCTATAATATATCTCACATATTGAGCGATATTTACGATAAAACGTTCGTAAAAGGGACTTGGGTCCACATATTCGGTACATATGCCTTTGAATAGTTTGGGTTTGAATTGGACAAGTTTTGGTCATACTTCATCGTTCATCATTCGTGCAAAGTTTTAACCCGTTTTATGCATTGGTGTTTGATTTTTATACTAGAAAGTGAAATAATCAGATGGGAATCAAAATTGTGTTATATGGGAAGTAGGTGTGGTTGTAGTCCGATTTCGCCCGATATCAGAATAATGTTATCTACTAAATTTGGTTGAAATCGATCGAGTAAGTCCCGAGATATGGGTTTTCACATAAATGTTGGCGGTGCTTCGCTCAACGTCCAATTTGGCATCAGCTCTATGTACCATCTCGGATGTAAGATTTTATGCCTCTGACGCATTTATTTATGGATTTTTCTCTGTACCAAATAACAGCTTTGTATCTTATTGCGAAGCTTAGTTTGGGCTATTTATTAGTTTTCAATAAATGGCGTTTTGTAGTCGTAGCAATGGTCCGATTACGCACACCGTCTCACGGAAGCATGTGTAATTTATAACAACGATAAAGACTCGGGAATCATTAAAATCAACTCGAGACCCAGTCTTGGCTAAAAAACAACGGAACTTTATGAGAAATATGGAACGATAAATAAATTATAAAATAAGGTTTAAAATAACATTGTCCCGTTACTTTTATTGCAAGTGCTTTGACAGATATATTGGTTAATGTCGTCCTAAACGAAAGGAAGTGAAGGCTTTGTTTACTATGGTTATGAAAATTTGACATATCTTTTATGACCTAAGGTGTCGGAATCTTTCCACAATTATTCTTTGCCGCACTAAAGTAAGACAAAAAAGTACTCCATATGGGCGATAGATTCCATTCGAGAAGTGTATATTCGTAATCAGCGCTGTCATATCGTCTTCACTATCGCTACATTAGAAATTGTGAATCTTCTACCACATAAAACTATTCGCATTGTGCTATTACGAATTTAACACACTATACTCTCACACATTATTACTTTTGTATTCGAGATTAGGTAAAAAAACTTACAAAAACTAACTACATACATACATATCCATATCACATGTAAGCACAAAAGTAATATAAAAAAACAAAATAAAAAAAAAAAGAGACACACGCGTAGAAGTAGATAAAGCATGAGCTGAAATGAGAAAATATACGGCAGCCAAGCACAAATGGAAAATAATGAGCGTAGCGTATGCTTCAAGGCTGCCAACAAAATGATAATAGAACACAGGTGTTAAGCCCAAAGGGAGTTGTCAGCGGCAGGGGGCTCGCCAACTTAATGAATGCGCGACAGCGCCAGTACAGAGCATAGGCTCTTAGCATAAGCGGACAGCGTGAGAGCGGAACCGCGAGGAAAGCACACAGAGAACAGATATGTACATATTTTTACACTATTCATATGCAAGTATGTGTATGTATGTACGCAAGAACGTGGGATATCTGGTTCTACGTTAGAAAAAATACTCATTAGATTACATGGTAAAGTAGTGATATATACAGTGCTGGCGAATAAAACAAAGTATGCAGTAGTGACTTATAAAAGAGAGCAAAGTGGCTCATAGTAAACATTCTTGGTGCTTTGGTTTAAATATTGATAAGACTTACAGTGAACCACCCTAATGTTCACACGTTAAACTATAAAATTTTATTGCGATTTAAACTTGTCGTTGGCAACAGACATTTTTTTTTTCTTCTGCTTTTTTGCTTATTCGTGCGATTAGCTGTAATATCGTAATAAATTTGAACATGAAACAATACTACAAACTAATCGCAGCTTTTATGTAACTTAACAACTATAAGCACAAGCTCGAATATTATGAAAATGAATTTCAATAACTATACTATACACTCGCCAGAAAGTCTGCGTAGACCCCAATATCTTATTTTATTTTGTTGAAAAATTTATTAGCTTTATTACTAGTCTATTGCATAATCACATAACATTTAAAGCAATGAAAATCTAACACCATAGTTTTATAGACAAATTTACAAAAAATAGTAATATGGTAGTTTGGTAGGTAAGTCTGCGTACAAGTAGTAAAATGGGAATTCCCTACTTAATAACCAAATGTAAAAGTGTCGGAAAGTTATAGTTTTACTTGATTTCGTAAAAGTAAAAATATGTAATATTACAATATTTTTGTTCTGTTCAGTTTGTTATTAAATTTAGATAATCGAATCTCGGCTAAAAGAAAAGAAACTACCCCTCTGAAAAGGAAAGAATGGTTAAAATTCTGCTACAATTCCATTAGACTCCATTCTGTTTGACCTAAGTGCC